GCCTGGGGGGGTCCTTTGGGAGTTTGATGCTTCCAGCTTGCAGGAGGGGTGTTTGACACGCTCCTCCATCCTTTGCACATTGGAGCCTAGGGAGCACGCCTATTTGGGGGCTGGATCGGAGTTCCGGCCGGCTCCCGAGTTGGCCACACCCAGAAGGAACTCATTAGCATAATGGGCCACACCCAACAGCAGAAACTCATTAGGATTGGCTACATTAGGGGTGTGTGGCCTAACATGCAAAGGGGTTCCTGCTCCAAAAAAAAGGCCCTGGGTTTTGACAACAAGCCACACTTCTGGTCTAATATGTTAATGTGCTGTACTATCAGGGGCGTGGCCTAATAGGCTAATGAGTTCCTGCTGTTGGGTGTGGCCTATTATGCTAATGAGTTCCTGCTGGGCTTTTTCTACAAAAAAAGCCCTGCTAGGGAGGGATCTTCTCCCCCTTCCCCAAAGCCAATCCACAGCGGAGGCATATAATTCACATGTGGGGAATCCCATCTACTGTCACAGGCGCTTGAGCCCAGGTCTCTTGGAGAATGACGACTGGTGTTCCAGAAAGGAGGGATCAGTTCTCTCGGATGGCCGGCCAGCGATGTCCCAGGAGAGGATTCGCATGCTACCACGAAGCTGCGGTTGTCGATCCGAGTGGCTCACGCGATCTTCCTCCCTTGGTGGGGAAGCCAGAACAACTTCAGCCACGTCATGTCGCAAGTCCTTCATGGGGAGACTAGGTAGAGTCGTGTTAGGTGGATGGAGAGGGGCCAGTGACGTCTTTTGTGGCCCAGGTCGGATGGGTGCCGCAAGATCTGATGAAGCGGCAGGGAGCAGAATTACACCCGGAATGACTTAGCTCTTCTTCAGGAGCCACGGTGTACCGATAGCTTCCCCAGGAGGCACGGGCTGGGGTCCAGCAGGGCAGGTCACAGGCAAGGCTGCAGAGAGGAACCAAAGTCCAGTCCAAAAAAGAGAGGTTCCCGAGAGCAGGTTTACCAAAGTCCAGTCTACGGTCAAGGAGTTCCAGGCAGCAAGTCCAAGTCCAGTCTGAGGTCGGGGGTTCCAGAAAAGCCAGTTTGTCGGGCCCAGTCCGAGGTTCAAGGTTGCAGAGGTCTGGTAGCAGCGAGGTTGGCGGCTCAGTAGCAAAGTGCACTTGCTGCGTCCACAAACTCCTGCTTCTCCTGGCTGAATGTATTGCCAAGTCCTAACGAGCTAAACTCCCAGCCAGCTCCTTGCCACTCATCCTGAAACGACTCATTCATCTCTTCAATTGACAGCTGACGATGGGCCGTGAGTCTCGCACTTCTTCTCCTTTCTTACAACTCTGAGCATCTCTGATAGCATTGGCGCTGCAAGGGTGTGGGTGAGCTAGTTGGGCTGGGGGTGGCTGCTGAAGACTTGTTTACTGCTTCAGAGCTACAAGACGTTGGCTCGGTTTCAACTGTAGGCTATGACTTCTGATCAGCTGGTAACCTGATCTCTTGTTGTTCTCCTTCTGGCTCAGGGCCAGCTGCAGCCGGCTGTTCAATTAGCTGCTCAGGGCTAGCAGGTAGCCCTTTGTCTGAGAAATCTGAGCCATCACTCGGCACAGACTCATAACACACGGGTTCATCAGGATAACTCTACCCAAGAGCCTTTATTATAGGAGATGTACTACTGAATAGGGTACTTGTCCTTTGGGATGCATTATCAGTGCTTACAGGAGTTGGAACTGGAGCCTTACTGAAGTCGGAATTGCAGTTTCTCTTGGTAGAGTCACAGAGCTGAGCTGTTCTCACGTGCTGGGTTGGCGCTGGTTTTGATGCTGTATCAGGCTTGGAGCCTTGGACTGCTCTTGGATGTCTGTCTGACCGGGAGGAATAAATTAAGTGGCCTGGCCGTGGGGTGAAGATTCTGCAAATAATTTTTTTAATTGTCCAAAGTGGAGGTGGTGTTCGCTTGCTCGCCAGAAACAGTCTCTCTTAAGCAGTTAGAGCTGCGGAGGAGTGTTTGAGCTGCTGACGCTTTGTTATTTGCCCCTCCAGAAGCCGCTGAATCAAGGTCAGAAGACTCAGATAACCGTGGGTATGGGCCTTGGAAAAAGCGGATGGACCATCTCATCTATGAAAACTCTATGGGCAGAAGTTTCAGAGGAGGAGAGGAATCTCTGCATTTTTAGTAACATCAGAGGGATTGCAGAACAGCCGAGGGTTAAAAGTAATCTCGTCCTGCAGAGGTTATTAAGGAGTCTCTCAGTTTTTATGAAGTTAATGAGGTGTTGTTTCTGTATGCATAAAAGCTGGCTTGGGGAGTGAAGGACCTCTCTTTTCATCTGCTCAGCAACCCCAATTTAAATGGCTAGAAGCGATGCACAACACTACTAGATTTGTTTGTGGGCAGAGTGCAGTAGAAGCTTTTTCTCCCCTTCCGAGTATCGCTTCCCCCAGGAAGATCACTGAGGCTGCAAACTTCTTTGAATTTAAGTTTAAATTGGAGGTCTGGAGGGCTTATCTTAGAGATATTTGGAGCTTATTCGCTCCCTTGTGAAAGATTGCATGTTTTCTCATTAAGAGCACTGAGTGCATCGTTGAGTGTGTCGATCTTGTTAGAAATATAATTAAGCCTTTGAAGAATAGCTATTACCGCTTGACCTGTTAGTAGGCGTTGAACTTATTTGGAGAGGAGTAAGATGTCCCTTACTAGCTCTTTCAATAAAAGTTCATCAACGCGCAACTGTTTGGCCGACTTCAAGAGGTGAGTGTGAATCCGAATGCCTTCTCAGTCACTTTTTTGGCCCCATTTTGGCTGTCTGTCTGTCTTTCAGAGGCAGTGGGAGATATACAGCTCTTGAAGTCACAGCTGCTGTATTGTCCAGAAGCTAAACAATTTGACCAGTAACTGGAGAGTGCAAAGGAGTCCAAAATCTGGCGGTTTGGATCCAATTAGACCAAGCAGAGCCAGATGGGATATCTTAAACTACTAGAAGGGTGTCAGAAAGCACAGATAAAGCTGAGTCTGCAGAGCAACTGAAGGAAGATTTCTGTTTGTCACCATCTTACACCCAACCAGGGCTATTTTGGGGCAGGAACGCTACAAAAAAAGGCCCTGGGTTTTGACAACAGACAAGGTAAACAGAATAAGAAGCAAAAGGTGGGTGTGGCTGGATGGCCACACTTCTGGTAACACGGGGGTGCGGCCTAATGTGCTAATGAGCTGTGCTGGTAGGGGTGTGGCCTAATATGCTAATGAGTTTCTGGTGTTGGGTGTGGCCTATTATGCTAATGAGTTCCTGCTGGGCTTTCTACAAAAAGAGGCCTGCACCCAACTATATTTTGTTATGGGACATCAAGCCAAGATCTGAAACCATGGTTTGAAGTTGACTTATGAGCCATAGGTCGGAGGAGGAGGAAGAGGAGATTGGATTTATACCCTGCCCTTCACTACCCGAAGGAGTCTCAGAGCAGTTTACAATCTCATTTCCCTCCCTCTCCTCACAACAGACACCCTGTGAGGCGGGTGGGGGTGAGAGACCTCTTTGAGGACTGCTCCTGAGAGAACAGCTCCGAAAGAACTTTTGACTGACCCAAGGTCACACCAGCAGCTGCATGTGGAGGCGTGGGGAATCAAACCCGGTTCCCCCAGATTAGAATCCGTGCTCCCAGCCACGACACTAAAACCACTACACCAAACCATGGTTTTGTGCAACGTATGAACAAAGGCATCACGGCTTAACTCTGGCTTGCCCACTAGGACTAAACTCACAGGGATACCAGCAGGATTCCTTGGGGGAAAGCGAGGGAGAAGATGACGACACTGGCATTTGTCAAGGCAACACAGGATTTTCAAGCCAAATCCCAGTTTCACAAACTAGCCCTACCCAAAATAAAGAAGAAGAGAAGAGATTGGATTTATACCCCACCCTTCACTACCCAAAGGTGTCTCAGAGCGGCTTACAAACTCCTTTCCCTTCCCCTCCCCACAACAGACACCCTGGGAGGTAGGTGGGGCTGAGAGAGCTCTGACAGAAACTACCCTTTTTCAAGAACAGCTCTTCTCAGAACTACGGCTTGCCCAAGGTCATCCAGCCAGGTGCAAGTGGAGGAGGAGTGGGGGAATCAAACCCGGTTCTCCCAGATTAGAGTCTGCGCACTTAACCACTGCACCAAACTGGCTCTCCAACCACAAAACTGTGTTAGTGAGCCTTTGCTTCCCAACTCCACAAGCCATCCCAAACACCATGAAAACTCAGCCCACTCTATCTTCCCGGACAATCGCCAGCTCTTTCAGGAAGACAATTTTCAGCACTGGACAGCTCCTTGTCAGTCTGGGGGGGGGGCTTCCGCTCAGGAAGCTCAGTGGACAGAGCTCACCGCATCCATTTACCACAAAACCAGCGATGGCTGCTTATGACAGGACAAGATGAGCGAGGAGCTCGGCCAGAGTAAGAGCGTGGGAGTTTGCTGCTGTTTCTTACAGGACTGGCGCAACGCAGACTACAGCTGCGTCTACTCTGCAGCAGCGTTCTCAAACAGAGAAACTGAGGCTGTGCGGACAAAGACATCCATCAAGCTTCACCCGCAATGAAGTGGAGGTCAGGGAACAGGGAAGAAGAGTTAGAAATCGGCTGAAGACTGGCAGACTTTTCCAGGCCCATCTCCATTATCAGCTGAAGCTGATGGGACTGTTTCCACAGAGCTTTTGTGTACTGGGTCTCTTGTACGCTATTTGCAGCTGTACCTATTGTGAATTCTTCTCCTTTTTTTGAAGCTGATGGGACTGTTTCCACAGAGCTTTTGTGTACTGGGTCTCTTGAACGCTATTTGTGAATTCTTCTCCTTTTTAGAAGCTATAGCATACCGAATGGAAGTAAGGCAGGAAATAACGCTCCTAATCTGTCTTTTCTGACTTGCGTGAGGAACAAAGCAAGCAGCATTCAGGCGAAACAAAGAGCCGGACCTGGCACCCCTGTCTGACAGCGCGGACCCCTGAAATAAATGGGTTTGGCATTCCATCCCGAACAGACTCACCATAAACTGAGCAACCGCCTTAATGAAAAAGACCCGATCTTGCTCTGTGTCCACATCTGAAGGGATATCGCTCTGAGGCTCATATCTGCAAAAGGAGACATTTTGGAGAGTTAGAAGACACACTGACCGGCCATTAGCAAGTAGGCAAAGGTATGCAGATCAAGTTGGGTGCCTGTGTTAGTCTGTCCGTAGCAGCAGAAAAGAGCAAGAGGTCCAGGAGCACCTGAAAGACTAAGAAAATATGTAGCAGGGGAGGAGCTTTTGTGAGTCACGGCTCACTTCTTCAGCAGTAGAAGAGATAATAGTCCAGTAGCGCCTTTAACAAAATCTGTGGCAGGGGGTGAGCTTTCGTGAGCCACTGGTCACTTCTTCAGCAGTAGAAAAGAGCAAGAGACCAGTGGCACCTTAAAGACTAACTACAATTGGGGCAGGGGATGCTGTTTTCGTGAGTCCCTGCTCACTTCTTCGGATACAGCAGATATTTCCTTTATATCTTGGGGAAATTTTACAAGAGAAACTTAAACTGTACACAGCGTAAAAGGTAGCCTGGGCCGGGTCTAAACATGCCCGAGTATATCAGATTTCAAGGCTTCAAACTGCGACAACAAATAAACCAAGTTTAATTGTCTTATTTAAAAGACAAAGAATGCTGAATCCCCCCCCCTCCAGTCCAAGAAGCATTAGTCAGCTGATCATCTAGCTGGCAGCAAGGCAAAGATTCAGGTAATGGCTAATTTACTGCAAGAAAGTTGACTGCAAGAAATACCTTCACGAAATAATCACAGACGGCTGTGAAATCCAAGAAGGCAGCTACAGTTTGGTGGAATGGTTAAGTGCACAGACTCTAATCTAGGAGAATGGGGTTTGATTCCCCACTCCTCCATTTGCACCTGGCTGGATGACCTTGGGCAAGCTGTAGTTCTGATAAGAGCTGTCCTTGAAAAAGAGCAGTTTCTGTCAGAGCTCTCTCAGCCCTGCCTACCTCACAGGGTGTCTGTTGTGGGGAGGGGAAGGGAAAGGAGTTTGTAAGCCGCTCTGAGACTCCTTTGGGTAGTGAAGGGTGGGGGTATAAATCCAATCTCTTCTTCTTCTTCTTCTACATGCTGCATCTCTATATCATTTGCTGCTCTAGCCCAATCTCTCAACCTGCGGGGAACGAACGATTCTGCGGCATCTGTGCTCTGGGAAGCAACTGAATAATCTGATCACTAAGGCTAACACATCCATGGAGCTCTACACTATCTCCCGAGCCCCCATGCAACACTGACCCAAGAAAGATCTGTTAGGAACAGAAGTGGAAGGATAGCGAAAGTTATTAAAGATGGCGGAGATAGCGGAGACAGCGGCAGTGGCGGCAACGATGGCGGCGGCGGCTATCCTGGCGTGGACGGCATTGGTGGTGCGGCGAGCAAGGCGGCGGCGAGCAAGGCAAGGTGCGCGTTTGAGCGATCCCTGGCGGCGGAGAAGGAGTACATTGAGGGCCGCCGTGAAGAGAGAAGAAAGGGGCATGCGCAGATGCCGAGCTCCGGCTCAGCGGAGCCAGAAAGGACGTGGCCAGGCCGGAAAGTAGGCGGAGCTGCGCGCCTAAGGAGGAGATCACCACCACTGAACGCCGGAGACGCCAGAGAACGCCAGAGAAAGAACAACCCGCTGGACCAGGAGACCCGACCATGCCGAGCCAACGGAGAAACAGCAATAGCCACCACAGAGGGGGTGCCGGTAGGTTGTCCCACCCCCCCTTCATACATTGTGGCCCTAGCTAGGAACACAGGTGATTAGCACCAGAAACCCTGTAAGCCGCTCTGAGACCCTAGCCATGGGACAAGAGCGGGATATCAAGTCTAATGTAAATAAAAAATAAATAAATTAAAAGGCAAAAGAACGGTAGTCCCTTGTGATGCTCAGGAGAAAGGCGGGCATATAAATATTTTAAATAAAATAAATGTCGCCGTCAATGTTCCCTCTAAGCTGTGGAGTCCTGTGAGCAAAAATTCTACTTTGTGAGCTACTGGCATGAAAGTTGTGAGCGAGCGATTTGTTTGCTCTGGAGCCCCATCCTTCCTGAGCTGATATAAAGAACCGGAGGCTAAAAAACTGTGAGCTCACACTAACTCAGCTTAGAGGGAACACTGGTCACCGTGCTCCACTTTGGCCCAGGCTAAACTGATCTCATTGGATCTCGGAAGCTAAGCAGATTAGTACAGGGATGGGAGACCACCGCAGAAGTCCAGCGTCGCTGTGCAGAGGGAGGCCCTGGCAAACCACGTCCGTTAGTCCCTTGCCTAGAAAACCCTGCAGGGTCACAACAAGTCGGCTGCAACTTGACGTTGCAATTTACACACAGGCTTCGCTTCCCCACAGAAAGATGTCACCGCACGGCGTTGCAACGTGCTTTCGGTGAACGCCAGAAGAGCCAAACCCGAAGGGATCGGGACAACAGTCCCTCTAATCCAGCTTTTCGCAGTAGCTGACGAGATGCTCCAACGAGACCCCACGAGAAGGGGTAACAGAGGCTCAAGGCTCCTCCTCTTGCTGACCACCCCCCAAAGCCAGACTGTCCAGAGATGGCCATACATTTACTACCGTATGCACCGTGTAATCTGTATCAGCGAGTCTGATCTGCTTCCCTTTAGAGCCAGTTTGGTGTAGTGGTTAAGTGCACGGACTCTAATCTGGGAGAACCGGGTTTGAGTCCCCACTCCTCCACTTGCACCTGCTGATTTGACCTTGGGTCAGTTACAAGCTCTGGCACAGCTGTCCTTGAAAAAGAGCAGTTTGTGTCAGAGTTCTCTCAGCCCCACCCACCTCACAGGGTGTCTGTTGTGGGGAGGGGAAGGAGGAGGAGGAGGAGATTGGATTTATACCCCGCCCTTCACTTGGAGTCTCAGAGCAGCTTACAAACTCCTTTCCCTTCCCGGTACTCCCAGATTGGAGTCCGCGCACTTCACCACGACACCAAACTGGCTCTCTAAGTTTTCTTGCCCGGTGGAAGGGAACTCAAAAGGCAATTAAATGCCCATTGAGCTGGTTTTTCCCCCAGGAACTGAAACCCTGAGAGAGGGGAGGACTTAGGGTGACTAGATGTCCACTTCTTACAGGAGCCAGTGTTACCTCTAAGCTGAGTTAGTGTGAGCTAGCTCAAAGTTTTTGAGCCTCCGGCTCACACATTTCTGTCTCAGCTCAGGAAGGGATGGCTCCAGAGCAAACGGATTGATGCAGGAGCCAAATTGGCTCGCTCACAACTTCAATGCCGGTAGCTCACAAAGTAGAATTTCTGCTCACAGGACTGCACAGCTAAGCAGGAGCACTGCTTGGAGCCCCCCCCCCTTTAAGACAGGCATTCAGACTAATTTAATTAACTGTAATTTAACTGCCCCCTTAAACATTTTAATGCCCCCTGAACAAAAATATCCTGGCTACTGGCCTGTTAGTAACACCTGCAAGGTGGACGGACCTGCTATTATTCACATTAACCCTTGAGAGGGAGACGCTGAACTGCAGGCTGTGGAAGTATATGTGCAGTCTGCAATGTTCCTGTTAGAGTCATACATACTGGGGTGCTTTCTTCACCTTCTAATACTGGGGCGTTTTTCTTCCCCAGCCATCGTGGCGCAGGCCAGTATGTTTCCGAGTTGCCTGAACGCAGCGAGTCTCTCCTATCACCCATTTCGTGTTATTCACAACTCCAACAAGCAGCCCACGCTTCCGAGATGGCAAAAAAGCCGTCAGATGCTTCCGTTACACCTACTCGTCTTGCTGACTCATTGCTTCATGCTAGAAACGCGTCGTCCCACAGTCCAAAGCTAAGTCCGTTTCAATCCGTCTCGGGTCTCAACTTCTGCCTGAGTTTTTCGCTTAGCTTCCAATGAGTCCAGACAGCTCGTTATCACCCACAGCTACAACTGAAGAGGCTGAGTCCTCTCCTCTCCTGCAAGCTCAGAACAGAAGAGCCCTGCTGGCTCTTCGGCTTTGAAACAGAGATGAGCACCGCAACCCTAGAGTCGGACTCGACCGGCTTTCGAGCAAGGGAAACCCTTTACCTTTACTTACAGTTTTAGGAGTGCCTTCTTGGCGGTCGCATGAGGCTACAGTGCTGGAGCAGGGAACAAGACTGACAGGCCTCTGCCTCGAGTTAACAGGGAGCAAATGACAAAGAGCGGCTGAAGAGCGAGGCGGCCGCTCCCCAAACATCTCCACTTCCACCTCAGATCACACCTCCTTCTCCCCAAAGCTCCCAGAGCGCGTCACGGCCAGGTCTCAACCCGAAGGCAATTTAAAAAGAATCCTCCTTGAGACAGAAGCAGCTGCATGTCATGCATACAGAATGGCCCAGATCAGTCCGGATTGTCAGACAAAAGTGGCACGCGGCTCAAGTCCCGCATCAATCTCGATCACTTCGGCACCGCGGGCTCACGCGGATTCTGTTTTGGATTCGGGACCAGGGGAGGCCGAGCCCGGCTGTCTCCGTTTCGCGGGAGGCTCCCGGATGCCCAAAAAGCCAACGGATTGGGCACGCTTTGCCTTTTCTGCTGCTGTGGCAGACCCAGACCAAATCTCGGGCCTGGTCTGTCTCGAAGTGTAGAGCACACAAAGCACAGCTGTTTCCCCCCTGCCGTGAGACCCTAAACCTATCACACAGGATTTGGAAGATTTCCTCAGATTGGATTTCAAAAGCAGTGGCAATAAACCGTGGCTTGACCAAACCCCAGATCAGCTGCAAATCTTTTTTTTTTTTTTTAATGAGTTTTTATTAGAAATATCACATGTAAAATACCACCACCAGGTTGCACCCTAATCCCATCCTCCTCCCCCCTCCCTATCCCTAATCCTAAAATCAATCCTGAGCTGTCAATAAATTCGATATTACAGAGTTTAAATAGCCACTTCAAACCAATTAAGAGCAGATAGAATTCCAAAGATAATCTCATACATTTCTTTCAATCCAGTCCTGCACATTGGACCACATGGATATGAATACTGAATTTGTTCTCCCTTGGAGTTTCTGTGTTAAGTTATCCATTTCTATTATTTCAGTTATTTTATTTATAAAGTCCAGCCTATCTGGAATTTCATTTTTTTTCCAAT